GAAAATGTTGGCCAAGAAGGCCAATCTAGAACTAGAACACAAAAAAATAGCCCAAGCTCAAACTCATGGTTAAAAATACAACCACCCTAAAGAATATGAAGATTTCTCCCTAGCTGCAACTCATAAGACATTGCACCACCTAAAATTTTCCACAAAACCTTTGGTTTAGTAAACAAACCAATGGAAAAAAAAAATGTGTATGATAAAATTATCAATAAGTGGGAGCATTATTGAAGGATGAAACTGTAAAAGAAATAATTCCAAACTGTTAAAAAAAATTGCAATCACAAATAAGTTGGTGGCTTTTGTTGGAATAGTTGCAAGAAATAAAATTATCAAAAAAATTGCAATCACTTGGAGAAATGCATAAGCTATTGACATTCTTTTTCTTTTTTCTTTTTTTTTATAAGAAAAAATTCATTGACGAAAAGCTATCGCATGCTAGGTCCAGAATTAGTGAATTTTGTAAGCTCCCTTGGGTTCTTTGGGAGAATCCCTTATCTTCCCCCCTCTCAAACTTTTAGTTGTGTGTAGCTCTGGAAAGTTGTTTCCTTTCCAAAAGAAAAATTAATCAAAATAGGGAAATTATTACCTCACCACCAGTAGCAAGCAAAGAACCTTCATTGTTAAATGCCAAAGCTAACTGCAGTCCAACATCTTCCAATTGGCTAAGCACCTCCTGGGAGAGTTTTAGCCCAAGCTTTTGAACTCCAGCATCCTTTTTGATATCCAATTTTAAAAAGCTGGATAAAAGAGAGCACAATATAAATTACAAATTGACAGTTCTCAAGTTACACCATGATATAATAGATGACTCAATCAAATTAACCGAAGGATATGACTCCACACTGCAGTTAAATACTCTTTGACAATAACTTCTCTTGAGGAAAACTCTGATTATATTTTGGGATGATAGACTGGGAAATTTATTTCAATTCTGAAAGTACTATACTTTGATATTATTGCTTAATTGACAACTTAGCCAATCATATACCCAAATTTATAAAAATAGTGCTTATTGAAGGACCTTGACATGAGAAATATGGATATAAAACAGCCAATCTTATTGTTTGTCATGCATAAAACATACCTAGCTAAAATAGTTATTAGTATATTGAGATTTAGACTGCCCATAGGTTTATCCGAGAAAGAACTAATGATCCACAATCTTTGGTTCATAGCAATTTGCAGTGGAGTTAACAAAGGAAATGGTATACCTGCAACTTTTTGGCAAAGAACAAATAATTCCATCTCCAGCTGGATGAACAGCCATTCTGTAAGGCAAATCGGAACCAGTTCCATATTTTTCAACCTGGAAGAATAGATTACTTTTTTTTTTTATAAGAAACTTAGAGAAGTGTATTAATCACAAAAGGGAGAACAACCTAAGGGCAAGGTGTAGAGGAAACCGCTCCCCAACACAAAACTATAGAAAATGTAACTGAGAAGCAGTTCTATGTGTATGATAGGAACTACTCCTGAATTATTGATAAAACAGAAAGAGAGCTACAGGACCAAGGGAGAAAAATGAGAGTTCCCTACCTCTCCAAAACCTTTCCCAGACTTAACCAAAAAGAAGTTTTCATTCATTTTCATTAATTCAATGAGAAGTTTGTTTCTTGTTCAAAAAAAAAAACTTAACCAAAAAGATACCCAACTCTCTCCCTCTGTACAGCCGTTATATACATCAAGTGAAATACCCAAAAAGCCCTACTAACTAACTTGGGCCCACCACTAACCCACCTCACCCACGCACAATTAATTACCATGTGCCCTCTTCTTTCTAACATACGCATGCTTAATAGGGGGCCTATCAGTGTATTGCAAAATGATAGGAAAAGAGAGTACAAAAGTATAGCTAACAACTTCCAAAGAGAAAACCATTCCACATGATCCTAATATATCTCAAAGATTCCAACAATACAATTCTCCCCTCCACGGCTTGGGTTAAGCATGTAGCATTTGATGGTAATAGCTAATAGAAAAATTGTCAGTTCCATTCATTTGCAAAAGAAGGTATGTATGAGTGGAAGAACAGAAGGAAACGACAAAGGAATTGATGTCAAATTAGATCTTGAGAAATCTGATAACATAGTTGATTGGCCGTTTTTGCATGCTATTCTCCCCAAAAAAGACATCAGCAGGTGACAGAGAAAGTAGATTATTGAATGAATTCTTAATGCAAACTTTTTGTGTTTTTTGAGATATGAAATTTTCGTAAAATGAAAGGGACTGGATTTTTTTTTTTTAAGAAGATATGAATCTTTCATTGATATTGATAAGGAACAAAGATTGTTGAATGATACAAACTAAAGCAAAAAAATAATATTAGGTAGGGAAAATAAAGACTCCCCAATTAGAACATATAAGAGGAGAGAAATTCACAAATAGTTTGAAAGAAAGCACCATTGTGAAGCTTTAAACTTAGCTACGCTGAAGCTTCAAATGAAGTTCTACTCTTGCCCTTAAAAATAATTTTTTTCAAACCAAAATTCTGGTAACAAAGCTTTGATGGCACTAACCCAAATAGGACGAACTTTGGGAGAGAAGACCGTTCCACAAAGCAACGAAGAGAGATTATCTAGAACCTCTGAAGCAAAGACCCAAGCAATATTAAACTGGTGGAAAAAGAGCTCCCAACAACACCTTGCATATGTGCAGTGATCTTGATCCAAATGAAAAGGACTTTTAATGCAAATTATTGTTCATAATGGCTTATCCTTTTTGTTTTGTTGGAAGATTTTTTGAGTCGGCTTCTAGATAGAGGAAAGAAGTTTGAAGTTGTTGAAGGTTTTCACATTTGCAGATCTTTTTTTTTAAGAAACATCTCTGTATTGATCAAAAAAGAGAGAGAAACAAACTAGAGGCTGGGGTAGAGGGAACCCCACCAGACAAACTAAACAACCGCTTCCCAATTGTTCATAAATATGGAGAGGTTGTAGTTACAAAAGAATTTACTATAAGTGATGCACCACCGAGAGGTCGTGTACTGTACATTCCTACAAAAAAAAACCAAAAGTAGTCGACTTATCTTCAAACATGCGAGAATTCCTTTCCTGCCATAGACTCCATAGGAGAGCCCTTGAAGCACACTTCCAAATAAACTTAGCCTTTTTAGGAAAAGTCCACTCGTGAATGTTTTCACATTGGCAGGTCACGAATGACAATTTACATTTCTCTTCAGGAAATCAAGACTTTGAGCCAATTTTTGGGAGAGATGATAGGTATTACTCATGCTATTCATGCTAGTTGAGGAATAGCCTTTGAGATGCCTCAATATGGTGCTAGATGGTAATTCGAAGACTAGGGATATCTAGAATTCCATGGAGAAGGTGATGAGCAATTTACAAAATGGGGAGTAGCCTTCAAAATGCCTCAATATGCTGCTAGATGGTAATTCGAAGATTAGTGATATCAAGAATCCCATGGAGAGGTGATGAGCAAGTTACAAAAATGGACGAAGGTATGCTTTTCCCAAGGAAGAGACTTCTTTGGTTCAAGCAATGCTAGTGAACATTCCTACCCTTTCCTTTCTATATTCCATACATATTAAAGTGGCAAAGGATCAAGGAGGTAGAAATTATGAGAGATTTCAAGTAAGCTTATGAAAGATGTTTTCTCAAGAGGTGCTGAGATAGAGGGGGAGTGACCTTCTTAGATGGAGCATTATGCCTATGCCTTAGGACTTAAGTGGCCTTGGATTAGGCAATATTGGTAGGAAGAATGAGGCTCTATAGGCTATTTAAGATGAAGTTCTTTGGCATAATATCATCGTGACCAAGAACGGTAAAACTATGACGTGCAATTTCCAAATGTTTTTGGATGGCCATTGTTAATAAAATGCAAGCCTAGAACACAATTCACTTAAGTTGGTATTAAGTTCTCCTTTGTTGCTCCACGAAGAGCCCATGAGTTGGTAACATTAAAATTGGTAATGTCAAATTGAACCTCCAACACTTCCACATACATAGCTAACTTGGCAGTTGGCAGACTCCATAGCAAACTTAAACATAACACGAGACCCAATAGGCAAAGCCATATGGGTATGCTTTCTCTTAATCTTATCAAGTATTAATACCTCCAGTACGTATAAGAGTCCACATTGAGAAATGATTTTTTCATGACACTTGGCTCCCAATCTTACATAAGTTTTTAGGAATAGCTTCATGATTTTCCAATATCAACAAAAGGGGATTGGCAAGTAAACATCTCATTTCCAGCCTCTACACCTAATAGTCTCATACTTGTCAAGGAAAAAGTTGTCGAGTCAACCAAATCCACAAGAGTGTAAGGGACAATTATGCCTCCGAATCATACTGAAATGGCGAAATCAATGTAATCAAGCGTCACCTTAGATTCTCGAAAGATTACCCAGTCCAAAATTCTATATATACGTGAAAGAAAATAACTGGGAAACACTTATCAAACAGGATCGTAGATCTAAAGACAGCATATAGCACCTATAGAGCAAGAGAATCAACCATAACTCGACTTCCATTTCTGCTTCACTTAATAACATAAAGCAAACGTAACATTTACCCGACAAGGAAAAAAAATGTCTAAAAATGAGAAAACGAGAAATAACTATAGAAGAATGGAGAGAGAGGGTTTACAGGCTGATCAGAGAGCGAGCGGGATTCAAAATCGAAATGAGCGAGGATGAGGGCATTGGAAATCCCACTCCGGCCTTCACCGCCACCGCCAGCGGCGGCTACGTAGTAATCAACTGCGGTGGTCTGGGGCGGTGGAAGAGATTTGTCATCATCACCGGATTGATTTGGATCATTTTCAGATGGTGGAGGTTCGTCCTCCGATTTCACAGAAGTGGGAGGAATCCACGCGGCTGCGTAGAAAGGGACGCCATACTTGCGAGAATTGGAAGGGTCGGGAGTGTCGTTGCTTCCCATTTGTGTGTCTCAAAGCTCGAAGCTCTGTCTATGGCCGTGTCTGATTTGGTACGAAACTGAGCGAGAATCTAGGCTATTCCTTCGGGGGCCTTTCTTCGCTTCTTCTTTCTCCCCAAAGTTTGATTTTGTAATTCTTACTCTTTAGACCTTTATATTCTTTTTTAATTATAAAAACTTTGGAGTAAAAATTCATCTTTGGTATTCATTGGCCATCTATTTTTATTATTTTTATTCTTGAATTTTAAAAATTAGGTCCAAATAAATAATTCTAAATGTTAAATTTTAAAAAAATGTCAATTTGCTCTCTAAGTTTTAGAAAATAATTCTAAATGGTCTATGAATCTTGAGATTATATAATACTTTGACCAGCGAAAAAAATAACGTCACATAAATGAATTGGTAAATTTTAAATGAGTTGGCAATATTAAATAATTTTATATTCTTTTTATCAATTTATTTCTTTTTCTTTTCTTTTTTTTCTCTTCCCCTCTCTCGCATCCCTTCTCTCCTCTCTCCCTCTCGTCTCCCTGCTTCTTCTCCAATTCTATTCCCCTCTATTCCGTCATTTTCTTCGCAACAACTTGGGAGACAAGTAAAAATAAAAAGAAGCAGCCAAAATAATAGTCTTAAGTCTGTGTTTTTAATTCAAAAACAACTCCTTTTGATATAATTTTCAATGAACTTCAAATTCAACCATACAAATCTATGTTCATAATCACAACTTTCAGCAACTTTTTCCTTCAATTTCTTTCACACAAATTTTTTCATCGTCCAAACAGAAAATCCACCGAAGAAATATCAGACAATCAATCTCAATAAATGAACATAAATCTGAGTAAAAAAGAAGCATCTTAATCTTAATATGCGTGCCCTCATCGGCAAATCCATTGGCGACCACCCAAAGCCCAAAAAAACAACCACAGATCACATCAACAAAGCCTTCCTCTCTATCTTCGCCACTGCCGACGACCTCTGGCAGGTTTCTGGGAGAGAGAACCGGCGAGATTGGATGGAACTTCGAGGTTAAGGTTGATATTTCGATGGGCGAGGAAACTGTTGAGTTACTCATAAATCAATTAAATTTATCCAACTTAAGCTTTTGAATTGAGTGATGGTTTATTCATCTTCAACATGATATCAAAGCGAGAGGTCATGTGTTCAAACTTCTATATTATTACTCATAAATGAAAGAATATCAAAACTTCGAGAAGAAGAAGATAAGAGAATTTGTCAACTCATTCATGTCACGTCATTTTTTCGTTAGTCAACTAACGGTCAAAATAACCTCAAACAGTCACTTTTCCAAATTTAGGGACTAAATATATATTTATTCTCAAACTCAAAGATTAAAAGTGTATTTTATCCAAAATAAGCTGTATACAAAATGACGATGTGTCCCTTTTTTAAGATGAACTAAACATTACATGGTAATTTCAAATTGTAAAATTCCTAAATATCCAAGTTAGTAATCATCTTCTTGCTTTTACCTTTCTCATAGAGTTTTGGCGTTTAGAGCTCGCCACCAAACAGCCTCCGTCGCCAACACTCGCAACAATAAGAACAGTAAAAAGATGTCTTCATTTCAGTTTCTCAAATTCCCTACCAACCTTCAGATCCACCACTTCCAGAAGCTTCCCCTGTATTTCTCTCACACGACCCGTATCGTATTTGGATCCGACCCAGGTTCATATTCTTTCGCGAGCCAGAAAACCCCAATTTCCCATTCAATTTCCCGTCTAGTAACAGATTGCTGGCCTTTACATCTCCCAACTGTTCGTACCCTTTATAATTTTGAACCTCTGTTTCTAATTTACAATCGTTTTTTGGTTGTCAAACAGGTAATTCGACCGAATTACCTATTTTCTGTAAACCGAGAAATTCGACCAAATTCTAATTTACAACCGAGTTTGCGACGTAAAAAGGCTAAACGATCAGCGGACAGAGGCTTTGTAAACAAATCTACGAGTTGCTGAGCAGTGGGCCTCACAAACAAAATGAAGATCAACTTCAATATGCTTCGTGCGGCCGTGAAACACAGGGTCATGAGCAAGCTGCAGGGCAGATTTATTGTCACAAAACAAAGTAGGAGTACCAACATAAATAAATAAATCCTTAAGCAGCTAAGAAACCCAAGAAATTTCAGCAGTAGTAGCAGTCAAAGCGCTATACTCAACTTCTGTCGAGCTGCGAGAAAACAATCGTCTGCTTCTTAGCAACCCAAGAGATGGGATTAGGACCCAAAAAAAATAATAGAACCAGTGGTGGAACGCCGATCCAAAAGGCTACTAGCCCAGTCAGAGTCAGAAAAAGTAGTGAGATCAAAGAACCAGTGCGAAAACGTTGCCACGAAGATACCTCAAAATTCTTTTAACAGCCACAAGTTGAATAATGGTAGGTGAGTGCATAAATTGTGAAACCCGACTGACAGCAAACGAAATATCAGGACGAGTGAATGTCAAATAATTCAGTGCACCTACCATACTCCGATAAGTAGTGGAATCAGGGGAACTACAAAGTGGTGAATCAACATGTAAAGGACTAGTTGAACACGACGCAGAACAAGGTTTGGCATCAACTATTCCAAACCGAGAGAGAAGATCCCTTGTATACACAAGATTAACAAAAATCTCAGAACTCTGTCGTTTGATCTCCAAACCAAGAAAATAAATTAGGCTGCTCAAGTCAGTCATATCAAAAGACTTCTTAAGTTGAAGCACCAATGAATCAACATAAAGAGAATCATTGTCGATAAGCATAACATCGTCACAAATAGGTGATAGAGCCACCAACATTCCAAACAAATGGTGATGGTTCAGATAAAGCGGCAACAAAGCCAAGAGACCAATTGAGATGTAAAACATTCAAACCATGCATGTGGAGCCTGCTTAAGGCCATAAAGAGACTTATGAAGCCTACAAACGTGGTTAGGATACTGAAGATGAACGAAGCCTTGAGGTTGTTGCATGTAAACTTCCTCCTGAAGCATACCATGCAAGAAAGCATTCTTGACATCAAACTGCCGAAGAGGCCAATCAAAATGAGCAGAAAGAGAAAGAACCACTCGAACAATCGGTTTCTTAACCACAATGACTAAAAGTCTCATAATAGTCAATCCCTTCTTCTTGATGGAACCACTACAAGAATTTCAATCTTTGGCGACGAAAATATTTGTCGCTAATGGGTCTAAATTCGTTGCTAAAAGCCTTTGGTGACGAAAATCATCCGTCACCAACTTCGTCTCTGTTGCCCCGTTGCGAGATGGTTTCGACGATGAAATTTGACTGTCGTCGTCGAAGAAACTTTTGGCGACGGCTCTAGTGACAAAACAAATGTCGAAAAGTTTCGTCGCGAAAAGCCTTTGACGACAAAAATCATCCGTCACCAACTTCGTCGTTGTTGCCCCGTCGCGAGATGGTTTTGACGACGACATTTGACTGTCGTCGCCGAAGAAACCTTTGGCGACGGCTTTAGCGACGAAACAAATGTCGAAAAGTTTCGTCGCCTAAAGCCTGCTTTGACGACGAAACAGAAGTCGTCGCCAAAGCAGGTTTAGGCAACGACTTCTACTTCGTCGCCAAAGCAGGCTTTAGGTGACGAAATCTATTTCGTCGCCTATATGCCTTTTTTTTCCCAATATTTATATTATTTTTTTCATTAATTGCATATAAAAATTTATTATATTAAACTAACATTGGTTTTACCATAGTACAAAAAGTCAATACAAAGTAATTTAACAACCTATATTCTATAAAGTTCCAAAATCAACAACTTAAACATGTTCTAAGAAATCTCATCTCATCAACTTCATGAAATTTTATAAAATTTCCAAAAGATTTTGATAGAGAAATCATACGAACCTGAAAAAACAAATAACAAATAAACTTATGTTAACAAAATAACAAACCACCTCAATTCAAAGTTAACAAACTTCCATTCTAACTCACTCCACATGTCATGAATTCAAACTAAGTATCCAAAGTTAACACATGACATAAACTCACCACTTCCATTCAATGTTAACAAACTTCCATTCTAACTGTGAACGAATTAAGCATTCAAACTTTCGTTTGTTATAACCCATTCAAACTAAATTAAATTTCAAAAATTAAAGTAAAAATATAACAGCACCACCTCCCCAAACACTTTCATTCAATGTCAATAAAAACTCATTAAAACAAACTTCAAATACACAAAACTTACTCTCACTAAGTCTTAACATGCACACAACACTCTATCAAATTCACTCCAAATTCAACAAAGTTTGTGTAAGACCACCCCCCTCCCAACACTTCCCTTCAAAGTTAACAAAAACCAACCAAACAAACTCTATCACTGATTCAAAAGAGAAATATGTGTAAGACCACCAAAATCATGTTAGGATGCCCTAAGCGAAAATGAGAACAACATTATTAGGATGCCCTAAGCGATCATGCCAAACAGGGTCACAAGATTTGATAGCTAAATAAGCATTAAAAGAAAGAGACTTATCAGGCGGCAGAGAGACCAATGGATAAAGTCCATTTATGCTAGGTCCATAGAAGAGGTTTGACCCGATAGTTTGTCCTGAATGGTAAAAGAATTATCATAAAAAGTGAAGACACAATTATTGTCAACACAGAATTGATGTACTGAAAGAAGATTAGCAAAAATATGAGGAACTCGAAGAAGATTGGAAATAACAAATGAAAAAGAACCAGTAGAGATGGAAGTTCAACCTGTATGAGTAATAGGCAATGGTTGGCCATTACCAACAGCAATTTGTGCTTCACCATTATATTCAGTGGACATGGTGAGATTGGCAAGAACAGATGTCAAGTGGGCGTTACAACTAGAATCAAATAGCCACACTTGAGAACCAAAAGTCGGTTGAGCAGAAACCAACGGAGCATTATGAGCTTTAAACGAATATGAAGCAGCAAGTGTAGCAAGATGTGCTGGAGGATGGCGGCCGCGAAAATCATGATTCATACGATGATAACAATCCAGAGCAATATGACCATATCGTTGACAGATTTGGCATATAACACAGTTTGAGTTCAAAGAATTAGTACGAGACGGCCGATTAAAGCCACTAGAATTAAGGTTAAAAGATTGACCAATCCAGTACCCGAATTAGGGCTAAAAGTAGTCGAATATGAAGAACCACAGCCACTGCCACCACCATAGCGACATCGACCACAACGACCTCGATTAGCAAAATTGGCCATCATAGCAAGTGCTGGAGTACACGAGGATAAATCATTAGCCTTAGATTGCTTTTCAATCACAATTTCTTTAGAATTCAGCAACACATGGAGATCTTTGAAAGAGAGGCTTTGCGATCGAATTGTAGATTGAAGAACTCACTGACGAGGAACTTTCAGATGCCATTAGGGCGCGAAAAAAGAAAACCCAAAATATAGCACGTGGAGGACGTGTGTCAAGTCTCCGCTGATACCATGATGATTTTATAAACTTAACTAATTTAACACCCTCGTCTTGTTAATGAAACTGAAAATAGGTATTTATACAAGATGATAACAGAATTACTTTGTAGAAAACAAGAAAATGATTGGAAAATTGATAAAAATGACTCAAAAAGTTTTTATTTTGCTCAAATGTCCTAACTTTTGAAAACACCTTCTCTAACCTAAATCAGTTTTGTGACACACCAACCGAAGTGAATTTACCATATTATCCCCAATTTTTCAAAAAGATGAGGTCGTAGAACTCGAGCGTGTTCAAAGAACCCTCGCTAGGTTTTTACAAATCCCCAAAAATACCCCGAAATGGTGTTCCATAGCCAGGGTTTTAAAAACTTTAGGCATTTAAAATACACGGACGGGGTTACAATTTCCTTGCCCGAGTAGAAGGCATAAAAGTCGCATTTAAAACTCACATTTATGCCACCACCAAACAAACCCTACACCCAGGCGAGTAACCACATAAACTCGTTTGGAGTATAATAAATTCCATAAATTTATTACTCACCAACTTCTGTACATGAAAGTATTAACTTTCTCCCACCAATTTGTGCTTACCATTATTAATTCTGAGAACAAAAAATGTTTAACGTAAACATTCTCTTGTATAGCTGCTTTGAATAAATTTTTTTTACCGGTCAAGGCAATCACATTTTTATCAATCTACAATTTCCTTAGAAAAAAATAGAAAAACCAGTTTGAACGAGGTAGGCTTTCTATTGTTTTACAATTTTTGTTTTTTAGTATTATGATTTTCTTTTTTGATTTCTGTTACGGAGTGATGAAATAAACCACCAAATTAAAATTCATAAAAATGTTGCTATAATGGTTTTTTAGAACAATTTTTGTATCTTCTATTTAAAATTGAGAGTTTCTTATTATTTTTGGTTGAGTTGCTTATAATTATAAGAAACTCGGGCAAGGTCACCATAGTTCTCGCCCGAGTTTTGTATGTTAACTTTTTCGATTCTAAAAGTAATAAGTTTTCCTTGATTTTTTTTTTCATGTTGAATGTCTCGCTCGTTTGTGAGTTATGGTGGTTAGTGAAATGAGGTACAAACTGTTTACTATGGTAGAGTTATAAAAGTTTTGGACGTTGATGAAAACACAACGTATATGGTGACCTTCTAAATGCAATGTTTAGGCTTACTCGAATAGATCCTGACCACTTCAACCTTGTCATATAATGTATGTATAAATTGGAGTTTCAGTACCAAGTACCTAATTATATTTATCTTTGATGATACTAGCCTTGAGATTTTTCTTGAGTGACCCTCCACATCTCTCTCAAGTGTCATTGTATGTATCAACAATACCAAAGGAAAGCCACGATAGTGGGTAGTGGTAGCAACTCACAAAATATACTCTTCTATCCCCAAAGCCAAACATTCCCTTCTTGTCCACACTACCTAAGATAAAATGTTTATTCTTCTATTCCATCGATTCCTAGTCATTCTTCGTTCCATGGTGTTTGTCCCTCATCTTTTGTCCTATTAATAACCCCATTGAGGGATAATGTGGTCCCATGCAATTTAGACTACGATGAACCACACTATTACGGTGAATGGTGTATAACTATATTGCTTTCCGAGGGGGCTGAGAAAAAGGGAAGGAGATATGGAGCCAGTGAGTGGCAACAGGTTCAGACGGTGCTATAAAAAACAGCATTTTATGTGTTATCAGAGCCACTCGTCCCTTCCCTCAATCTTCACTTTACGTGAGGATGAGGATGAATATATGATGGTTGACGACAATGATGATTCTGAGTATGAGGATGATGATGAAGTTGAGGATGAGATAGAGCCTGTTGTGAAGGTGTTCCATCGTCCGCACTTGCTGTTGAAATGCATTATGTAAGTAGAAATGCTCTATGTTCAATAGTTTAGGGAGTACCTTCATGCTCATAACAGATCATTACGACAAGTGATGAGCCTAATTCAATGGATGACATTGGAAATAAAAATTGTGGGATCCAATCCCTGTGGGTACTTGACTTGGTCGAGTCTGAAAATTCTTGGTTTGATCGGGGACGGGGGTCAAACCAAGAATCCTAATCGGGGTCCCTGACAGGAACGAGGCAAAAATGGGGGGAGGTCTCCCTATCCCATACCCACCTCGTTTAGTATTTTAATATTTTATATTATTATATCTAATAATATTAATATATATTAATTTTTATAATGGGCAAGTGCAAAAATGACCAAAATAAATAATGTGTTTTAGAAAATGATAAAACATATCAGATATTGCATAAATGACTAAATGTCATTTTTTTAATTCTGAATAAATATTTTAGATCAATATACTCATGTAACATATTATGTATATATATGCTTAATTTTAGGAATTTATTTGATAAAACAAATAACAAAAACAATTGACCTTAATCGTAGGAAATCAACTGCATCTAATAAAACAATGAATGAAAAATCGAATTTAAACCACTTAAATCTAATTTAAAAATTGATATTCTATATTTCAAAATCAAATTTTGAAAGTAGATTTTCATTGAAATGGAAAGGAAAGTACAAACTTAGATCAAATAGAAAAATAAACGAAAAATAATTTTAAAAACAATAAAGGAAGAACAAAACTTAGAAACTGGAATTAAAACTTAGAAGCTAAAGTTGACAAGAATTAGAAAGAAAAAAGCAAAACATGGAAAAATGAGATGCGTTCAAGTGATGCTTGGGAGCTCTCCTTTTATAGGTCATGGAGGTAACAAGATGTTGAGAAATGCATGGGAGATTGGAGCCAAATAAGGTTGTAGAGATTTTAGGAACTAATAACAAATCTTGGATCAATTACTTGGTCAAAAGTTGTTATTCCCGTTTTGACAATCTAGGCATCGAATGTGGCTGAAGCATTGTGAAGCTGGAACTTTCAAAGTAACTTGGCTGGCTCATTCCTCTAGTAAGCTAGAAATTGTGGTCCTGCAATGTGCCTAACGCATTTTGATCATCAATCTTCACTTTTCCTTACAAAATAAGCATATTTACACAAATTAGCCTTCATTTATCTATAATTGAATTCCAAAGTCCCTAATCACAAATTACGCACATTTTCCCTAAAATATATGCTTAAACATACATTTTTCATCATAATTAACTCCCAACTAAGCATGTAAACCTACTCTTTTTAGCCTTTAATCAAGTCTCATCAAACATCGCCCACCGCCTCATTCTACCTCACCCAAACAAGATCTACCGTCTGTTCTGCCTTATCCAAACAAGATCTATCGCTCGTTCCGCCTCACCCAAACCAGATCTGCCATTCCATTCACATGCTGCATGTCGTCCCATTCTTGTCCGGAGTCCTATCGATCGTTGCTCGCTGCTAGCAGTGTTGATATGCTGCTCCCGATCCAGATCCACCACTCACTGTCCAAGATTCGTAAGTCCTCCAATTTTGACCCAATCTGCCACCCACCGCCTCGATACACCACTCACCACCCATGAACTGTCGACCGACAGTCGTTGTCCACTACTCCAGCCGCCTCTTCAATAGTTGTTTAAGGAAGGTAAGTCCAACAGTCTTTTTGTCCTGATTTTGGGACTTTGATTGATGGAAAACGAACAAAAGTTAAGTTTAAAAACTTGTTTTTTGTCGCCCCGTATTTTAGGGATATTTTAAAAATTAAAAATAGATGTGTGACCAACCACATGAATGCGTCGTTTAGAATCAAATCTAAGGGGTATATCTACTTAAGTCCAACTACTTTCTATATTTTAATAGATTAAAATCTAGATAAAATCAGTAGATATGGTCAAGGTTAGAGAAGGAACATCTCGACTAGGGATGTTCATGGGATGGGACGGGGACGCAGAAGTTTTTCCCTTTCCCGTCCCCGCCCCCTTTTAAGTCCCCATGAAATTTTACAGGGATTGGGGTGAGGATTCTGGAGAATTCGTGGGGATCGGGTTCTCCATGGATAATTTTTTCCCGTTTCTTTTTTATTTTCTAAATTATTTTTCAATAAATATTTTTTTCTTAAAGAAATTTTTATTTAATTGCTAATTTTTAAGGTTCAATTCTCTCAAATATATATATTAAGTGGATGGGTAGATAAGAATACATGATTTTTTTAGTACATGTATATATAAAGAGGACAATATAATTATTTTAGTGTGTGTGTGTATATATATAAATATTACAAAAATGACAGGGGGGCGGGGAACGGGGAATGGGGACGGGGTGCATATTCCCCTTGATTTAGGTGGTGGTGGGGAAAATTTTCCCCATTCCCGCCCCCCATTGGGTGATGAAAAATATACATACATGCGCAGCGGAAGCGAGCAAGGATCAAAATAACAATTTAGATGCATATTACAACCTACGATTGAACATGCATGATCATACATTATGATGCTTAGAGGAACGTAAAGAAAATGACATCCATTTGTAGTTTTTCAAATTTCTTCAAATAGCTCCAATGAGGACCACCAAGAGGTCTTCCTAGCTATTCTCAAGACTTGGAATAGAGTGGTGAGACTTTTTTTAGAGAAGGAAATTTTGAGAGAAATATGGAGCTAAAAGAAGTTATGTAAGCTTTTTGAAAAACATCAAATGGCCAAAGGTTTCAAGAGTTTTTAATGTTTGAACAAATGTCTTCTTAAATAGGCAAAATACATGCAACTTTTGCATGTCTAAGTTCACCAAAAGCTCACAACACATACATGGCATGACTAAGTGTCAAAATGCATGTTTAAGTTCACCAAAAGCTTACAACACACGCTCCACTCATGCATGCCATGGTTAAGTGTCAAAAAGTGGATTTTTTTAGATTATTTAAATGTTCGTTAGTGGAATTTTCCACCAACTTGGTTAAAAACATTATTTTAATATTCTTAGTCAAACTTTGACTTTCTCGGGTCAAAGTCAACTATTTTACTTTTTTCAAAATCCGACTGTTTGACTAAATCCATGCCTCCAATTATGAATCTGCATTCA